ATAATGGACAGGATGACAGGTTTTTGACCAATGGGTTCAGATAATGGTATCGTTTATAATGGAACATTTTATAGTGAGCATGGGGCTAGTGACAAGAGGTCGGTATAGATGGTTGGAAACATGTAGATTTCGTGTTGTTGGCCTTGATAACTCCACTGCCTGAACCAGGAGTATTCAGGTGATTTTGTAAATTACAAGAATTTCTGAAAGAAAGAACTGGAACGATAGTGTTAGATTTTGTGAGGACTTATAAAGTAAGTAACTAACGCAAGCAAGTATGCTGCTCTGTGGAAAAACTAGAATAGGATGGATAGGAAATAATGAAGTTTTGTGGGATATTTGGAAAGATACACGATCCTAGAGTTATGCAATAGGTAGCTGGTAGAATGTGACGAAACTTACAAAACTGTCCTGAGTACCATATCCGGTAAAAGGCTGATGGAAGGCAAGGAGTACTACGGACCAACGCAAGGCTACTACAGTTATGGCAATAGATCTTGGCCAACGTCGTTTAAGGATTCGGAGGATGGGAAATATCCTCCTCTTCTTTTGAACGGAAGAGTTAGGGTGTGACGAAAGGTCAGAGTGGATTTTCAGGTTGGATGGATCGTGAGGCTTGAGGTGATCGTGGATGGTGTAGTAGGAAGCTTGGAGAAATCTTGTGAGAACTTTTTATTGCAATGCTTGAACGGGTCCGATATTGATGGCTTCGTGGTACCCCACAATTCTGCTCCGTATGTCTAAATAGGTAGATTTATTGTCACAATAATGTCCGATTTCAGTTCGAGCAGTCTTCTTAGTTTTCCAAGTACTACGTTCATTTCTCGTAGCTTCAGTCTGCTGTCTAGGTACAGCCTTAAATATTTCGATGAGCTCGAGGTGTTCCTGGATATTGGCTAGGGTTTCGGGTTCGTACATAATATCGCGCTATTGAATGCATAGGTTGAACCGTGGTGATGGACTGGATTAACAGGTCAGTAGTATAAATAGGATGGGACTAAGATTGTTTCCTTGGAGAACTCATTGTCATACCTTACTCTGAAGCAGTGATCGGTTGGGTAGGATTTCAGAATTAGGTGGGAACTGTTTTAGTTTGAAGATAACTCTTGGATGACTATCGAATTTTTGGACCGAGTCTGAAAACTCGGCCAAAAAGATCTGTCTTTTCAACGCGGACGTTTCTTTAGATAGCAGTATCATCTGCAAAAGTATAGATGAATGATGGGGTTGGTTAGGTAGTCCTATTGTATACAGGATGGGACCAAGGATACTAGGGATAATGTTTTGTTCTAAGATGGGAAGGATTCTTTCCAGAAGAAGCTTCTGGAGGATTTTCCAAGTTTAGGTTCGTAAATCCAATTTTGGGATCATCTTTATCTTAGAAGACTTCCGTTGTTAGGGAAAGTGAGTAATCTTTAGCATTATAGAGGTATTTTAGGAGGAGGATTGCTTTCTTTGGGATGAGTCAAAGCATTTCAGCGGTTTAAGACCGTTCAAAAGCTTTCTTTTTTCGAAGATTTTTGTAATATATTAGTCCTCTGAAGGATGAAAAGTTTTTTGGAGAAGAGAAAGATGTAGTAGTTGGATTGGAATATATAACTACCACACATTGGAATATATATTTATGTTGTTCCACGGATTCTTTCATATTTGTTTTCCACCCTGGTCAACAATTTCGATTGTTTTCAACCTGCATCGCTCAACAAGATTTATAATCCGTAAAGTAATAGTATAGGAGAAGGTGGCCACAATTTAATACCCACTCCCTGGGTGGAAGGGAGGGCTAGGTGAAAAGTTGCGAACTTGCCCTTCGAGGGGGCGAAAACCCAATTCTAAGCCCGGCTTTATCACGGGAGGTGCGCTTTAAAGACAAACCGACGTTATTATCTGCCTTTGCCGCTACGACTGTTCAAGGATGCATATAGAAAAATTTACTACTAATGTCCATCTATTTTGTTCAAAAACCCGGCGAAAATGCAAAAGAGCGAACATCCTGGATCAAGGTATGGTTTTGAAGAAACAAGCAAATTCAGTTCCACGCTTTCAACCTATTTTAAGGTCATCATCAGAGAAAACAATCTTAAATATATCTACAGATTGACATATTTAAATTTTGTAAATTAAATTAAAAAAATAGAAGACCACAAATTTCCTTGAAAACCGACTCATTGCCAAGGGCCACAATCAAGGGACAAAAGTGAGAGTTAATTATAATAATAATAATGGTTCGCTTAATTCGTTCAAAACATGTCTTCCCTGATCCGTTCATTATCGCCGTTACATCAATGCTACAATCTCATTATTCCTATTATTAACCCCTTTTTATATAATACAGAATAAAAACAGTATTGGCAAAATGAAAAAATAATATAAACAGAACAGATTCAATTCTACAGGGGTATTATTAAATTACAGCCAATTAAAACCGTCCGCTGTAAACTTTATCTCGTTTTAATCATTAATTGACTGTTTTTTACTAATAATAAACACAATAAAGAACAACATAGCAAGGCGGCGATCATGAGTAATAATCTAAAATACTGGGGAAAAATGTTTTTCCCACATTTAAGCTAATATCTCCAAAACTATTTGTTATTCATAATCAAAACTAATTCATATTGTAGAGAATTAAATTTGCTTGATAATGAACGTTTATTGAGTTTTAAAAAAAACTAATTACAGGGCCAAAAACGCTTCGTTTAAACGTATACAGCAAAAAAACATGAATTTTGTTAAATTATCAACTTTTTTCATAAATTCACGTTTCGTGGTCCGGTTGACCAATTTTTCATCAACATGACTAAGTTAATTTGTAGAAAATTTTGCTTTATTCATAATGAACGTTGAGTTTAATAAAAAATTCTATGTACAGGGTCAAAAACGCTTCGTTTAAACGTATACAGCAAAAAAAAACATGAATTTTGTTAAATTATCAACTTTTTTCATAAACATGACTAAGTTAATTTGTAGACAATTTTGCTTTTTTCATAATGAACGTTGAGTTTAACAAAAAATTCTATGTACAGGGTCAAAAACGCTTCGTTTAAACATTACAGCCAAAACAAAAAAAAACATGAATTTTGTTACATTTTTGCAAACATGTCAGAAATTATCAACTTTTCCATAAACATGACTAAGTTCATGTGTATAAAATTTTGCTTTCTTCAAAATAAACGTTGAAGTTAATAAAAATTCTATATATAGGGTCAAAAACGATTCATTTAAATTTATACAGCAAAGAAAAACATGGAGTTTGTTACATTTTTTCAAATATCTCAGAAATTATCAACTTTTTTCATAAACATGACTAAGTTAATGTGTATAACATTTTGCTTTCTTTATAATGATCGTAGAGTTTAATGAAAAATTCTATGTACAGGGTCAAAAACGCTTCACAAAACTTTCTGCTGTTTTGCATATATCCCTCAAACTATTCACTTTTTCATAAACACGACTAAGTAAATATTGTAGAAAATATTGTGGAAAATGGAAAATATTTTTGTAATAAATGTCCATTTTAAAAGAAACCCATATTGGTTTGGCAGCACTTCCTTTATATTAGAGTCAAAAAATAGGGTTTATTTTCTACATTTCTGCATTTATCTCAGAAACTATTGAATCTTTCATAAACACAACGAAGTAAATATTGTAGAGGATTAGAGATTAGATTGTCTTTAAAATTAATTCCTTTTCACTTTATAGACTTGATACATGCTGAGATAAACGGTCATAAACGGTCAATTTGTTGCAATTTTTTTAAAACTTTTTTTTTATTTAGAAATCGTGAGATGCGGTCTGGTGTGATGTAGGTTTCAGAAAAACATTTTCTTTATCGTGCCAACGTTTCGATCTTTATTGAGATCATCTCAGGGCTCAAAGTGTTTGTCTTCTGTGTAATTGTGCCATTCTTGCGTGTCGTGTCGAGAGTGCGCATTTTTTTACTTTGCTAAATCCTTACGTGAAATTTTTTTTAGGAACGAATTAAATAAAATATGAAATGTAAAAACATGAAAAAAATTGTATTGTTAAAATGTATAAAAATTTCCTGACTTGTTGTAATGACAATTAATTAAGGTTTTTAGTTGAGATGAAAAAAAAGTTAATGGCACGAGAGGGATTCGAATTCTTTTTTTTCATCTCAACTAAAAACCTTAATTAATTATCATGTATTAATTGGTCAAGCGGACCACGAAAATAGTGAATTACTTGTTTTAATGTTAGTCCAGTGTTCTTGACGCGATCCTCTCATCTGAATCAAAGAACGACTGACAAAATCTCACCCTCTTCGTTTCAGATGGGGGTTCATTTTAAAGGAAATCTAACTCTCTGATATTTTTATTTTATAACATTTTCGAATAATGTCAACATCAGAAAAAGCGTTTCTTGACGTTAAAAATTAAACAAAGCGGGTTTTTTGGGGTTTTTTTCGGTCATAAGTATACCTTATAAAAAGATAAAAACGCTTCGAATCTAAAAACCATTGGCTAAATCTTACCCTCTTCCCTTCACTTAAATTGCCAAAAAATTGTGTTTTTCTTACATTTTTGAAAATATGTTATGAACTAGTGAGTATATTCCAATATGTCACTAAGTAAAAGTTACATAAGTTTAAATTTTCTTTAAAACAACGTGAACCGCAATTATTCAGTTTAATTACTAACAATTTTGCGATGTTTTCTTTTCGATTTTACGCCATGTTAAGCGGAAGACCGAATTTACGAAATGTGTAGCAAAGGTACGAAATGTTGGCACCTGAAGTTGTGTGTGCTTTGTTTTGCGAGTCGAATTAATTTGATCAAAACATGTCAACGCGGATACTCATCTGCTCAGTTTAGGCCAAATGTTTACGGACAGCACCGAGCCTCGTGTCATATTTCATTACTGGTGACGTTCCCTTTATAAGGGATGAAACCAGTTTACCTAAACCACGGATAAACCTAAACCTAAACGATAAACCTTGACCGGGGTTGGAAAGAAAAAAAAAAGAATTAGAAACTCACCTCGAAGGAAAGAGATCCCGCTACGATTTTCTCCCGTGTCACACCCTTCATAATTTTGCATCTCAACCTGGAAAAAAAAACACTCAAATTAAGCAAATAAGAAACGCAGAATCCGACTGGCAATTTCATTCATAAAAAACTACATCACGACGAAAATAAGCACAGCCAATCTTACAAGGTGAAACCTGAATAAATGTCGCCGTGTAATTATATTGTTCGGCGCACGTGCAAATTATGTCGATGATATTGGAATAAATTGGCTACATGCTTGAAAACGTTGGCCCATAAGGCGTGGTCGGCTCACACCCTCAGACTACAACTGAATTTCGAATGATTTATACCATTTGCTATCCATTTGCTATTTAATTACAATTTTTTGTCCAAGAACAAAACTGGATTTGTTTCGTAAACTCGAACGGAAAACGATTTCAGGACGTAGAAAATCCAAATTTCGATTGAAAACGGCACGCTCTGATAAATTCATATTCAAATTATATTTACAATCAGAAGTGCACGTAAATGACTGAGATTTTTTAATAGATGTAAATATAAATCTCAACATATACATAAATGACTTCGCAAATTGAAGCGGACATCCATATAGCTGGGAAATTTAATGCAAAACATACCGAGGTAGTTTTTTTAGATGACACTTTAGATGAAAAGTTGACACAACAATTTATATAAATGGAAGAAAGTAAATGTAGATAAAAATGGCTACTGTGACGCACATGTTATTATAAATGTAGACAAAAAAGAACCATGAAGATATATAGACGGAAACGTTTGTACGTTGCTGTAGAAAGGCAATAAATCCATTAGAGTTCGTGGTCCGATTGACCAAATAACTTCTTTTCAATTAAATAATCTTTAGTAAGGTTGAGATAAAAAATCAGTGTCACGAGTGGGATTCGAACCCACGACCTTCGGCTGAATTCGCCGCTGCTCTAACCAATTGAGCTCTCGTGACTTCGATCCACTAGGACACCAACTTCCCATCTCAACCCGCCTTTCGAATTTTCCTTCTTTTTTCCTCGCCGAAGGTCGTGGGTTCGAATCCCGCTGGTGACACTGGCTTTGTTATCTCAATCAATACTTTACATAAACATTAATTTTGAAAAGAAGTTATTTGGTCAATCGGACCACGAACTCTAACGGATTTGATAATTACAATGAAGTATGTCTTCACTAAAGCTCTCCGTGGCCATTTCATTTGTCGCCGAGAATCGTAGATTACACGACATTTGAAAAATGGCAAAAAGGAGGGAACATTCAGAAGGTGGGGTTGAGATGGGAAGTTGGTGTCCGAATGGATCTAAGTCGCTCAAGTGGTAGAGCAGCGCCGTATTTAGCCGAAGGTCGTGGGCTCGAATCCCGCTCATGACACTGATTTTTTTATCTCAACCAATACCTTACATGTAGGCAATAAAGTCCATATAGATGTACATGACAGTTTGGACGCAAAAGTATGTAAAGATTTAGACACGAAATTCCATATAGATGTAAATAACAATTAAGACGGTAAAGTTTCCGTAGATGTGGGAAGACGAGAAAGTCCAAGTAGATGTAGATTAATTATTACGGAAAATTTGGTTTAGTTGTAGGTAGACAAAAAAAGTCTACGTAGATGTAAATGGCAACTTAGGTGGAAAAATATGTGTGTATTATGTAGAAAGGAAATCCATGTAGATGTAATATAATCGCTATTGATCACCCTGTTAATAATAAGTTATCGTGCTTTCCTACATTACTAATCAATCAGGGTCCGTAAATTTATACATTTGGCATCTTTTGAGCTTTTATGTATAAATGGTCTTTATTTTAACCAGCGGAACCGAAGTCGCCCAGGAGGTTTAGTCATGTAAGACTCAATTCAAAAGCATTTTTACCAAGTGTATTTAAAGGTAATTACTTTCTGGTTATGATTTCTAACCCGGCCTCTAGTCGGCGTCGAAGTTGAAAAAAGTCCTTCCGACACGAAGGCAAATTAGACGAAATTGTAGATTAATCGTGATCAGCTTGATGGCATCGGACCATAGACAATAGATTGCCGTTTACGAAGGGATAAAAAAATTAATAGCCAACTGAAGAAATGAAAAAAAATAAGTGGCATTAGACAACAAACAAACAATACGTCACCGGGACTAACAGGAGGAGAGTGAAAAATATTGGCCCATAAAACTTGAATCTTGTCAATAACAATAAAACTTGTTGTGAAAATAATTTGGAAAGGCATAGACTATTCCAAGAGAATGGCGGACAAGTCAGTGAAAAGACGTGTCTACGTCTGTTGAACTTTGACTGGCGACTCGCAAAATCAGTTTATCAATTTTCTTTCTCTATTTATCAAATAAATTCCATTATAAAAGAGCGAAACGTTTGATTAAATTTCTTTAATGTCAAAAATCCGAGGAAACAGAGTGGCCCCCTCTCACTTCTAAGCGGACAAATATTCCCCTCTAGCTAATTCCTGGGCGAAAAATTGTATAAATGGGGCAAATCTTCTTTTTTTTAAATCATATACATATTTTTTATAATTTTTAACACATAACCTAACGGGTAAAACTGAATTACCACGATTTTAACATTCTTTAAATTATACAGCATGTTCGGCTACTCGTTACAAAAATTGCCAGTAAATTCTACTTTTAAAATGAAACCAAAAAGTCCGAATTAACTATCGTCCGAATCTCAATAATTTCGGAGTTATTCCTCTTTTTTTATTTTTTAAAGATTCACGACCTTTCTTCAATAAACAATGATAGCTCCAAAACTAAAGATCTTAGGCAAATCCGTTAATACCAATGAAAACTACGTTAAATTTCCAATAATATGTGATCAATACTAAACTTGTAAACGTTCAGGAAATAAGCGTTTTAGTAGCCAGAACATTGAATTTTTTTAGGTCGAAAACTTACTATGGTGATTTTAAACTACTATTTTGAAACCTAAAGATCAGCAAATTTCAGCAAACGTAAACCTTTTTAGTAGTGGAATTGCTTTTTTAATTACTTTTTCAAAGATGAAGAAATTGATGAATAGGATTGGTAAGAAAGAAAATTTCAAAAAAGTACATCTTATTGGAAATTTAACGTAGTTTTCAATGGTATCAACGGAATTGCAGAAAACATTTTGGTTTTGCAGTTATCATTGTTTATTTGAACTGCCAGAACTTTGAAAATCCTTAACCACGTTTTTTTCCTTCGTCAATTTCTTGAGCTTTGAAAAAAGGAGTTAAAAAAGTAATTCCACTACTAAAAAGAATATTAAATTAAACTTTGAAAAAAAAATTTAATGTTCTCGCTACTAAAACACTTATTTCACGAACGTTTACAGGTTTAGTATTGATCACTTCTTATTGGAAATATAACGTAGTTTTCAATGGTGTCAACGGATTTGCCCAAAACCTTTTGGTTTTGGAGTTACCATTGTTTATTTGAAGCAAGGTCGTTAAATCTTAAAAACTCAGCCAATTAGTGCTTTTCGGTTCCATTTTGAAAGTAGAATATACTAGCAAAATCTGTAACCCGAGTAGCCGAATACCCTGTGTTAGCCTTTAAAAAAAATTTTACATTAAAAAAATTACGAAAGAGAGAAAATTGATTAATCGAAAGATTTACAGTATAAGAATTCCCGGCCGCATAGGAAATGAGAAAGTGGTTGGCCTTGGATACGAAAGGTCCTGAACAGGTTTTTTTTGTTTTTTGTTTAAGTTGACGAGATTTAAAGATAATCTTAAGGAGAAGAATTAAACCGTCCAAAACTGTGGATTTTTTAAATTCAAGGCAGGCTAAAAAAATCGTATGGGAAAGTTCATGGTTCGTTGTTCATCGGTAGGATTAGATTAGTACGACTTGCTCGGACGCGAAGACGAGAAATGTAGACGGTCGGATTTGGCCTCGTTTTTAATTATGTCAGATTGAAAGATTGTGGGAGATACACGCTTAAAACAAGACTAAGACGGCGCGGACAGCGAGATCGAGACATTTTTGTGTGAATATTTCACAATCTCATTATTACTCCTTATCTGGTCGAAACTCTGAATACGAAAAAGAGCGACGACAAGCGGACCGATATGGTAAATTTAACTTACACGGAATTATTTTAAACAATTTGTCATAATAAAAGTAAAAAGTCTTAGTTTACTATGTTGAAAACATGAGAAAGAACCGCGTGTCTGCTTATCGCTATCATCAGAGGTAGGTCAGTGGGGTTGGTTAAACGCCCACCAGAGGATGGGGGGAAAAGAGGTTGCTAGAAATGCTAGAATATGCTTACATGGTCAGGTTTGGTTAGTGATGGTTAAAAATGGTGAGAGATGGTTTGATGCTTAGGACTGGTTAAAATGTTTTTAGCAGTTAGAGATAGTAAAGGATTGGTAGAAAAGTTTAGAGATGGTCAGAGATGTCTAGATATGTAAATGTTAGGCTTAGTTAGTGATGGTTAATTATTGTTAGATGTTAGACTTGGGTAAAATTATCAATGGTTGAGAACAGTTAACTATTGTCAGGTCAAGTTAGATATGTTTCATTATATTTATTAAAGAGAACCTGGGTGCACTAAGGGATGATTAAATGATAGGATATAGTTAGGAATGGTCAGGTACACAAATTGAGAGATTGTTTAATTGTCAGATGATTCCATACACTAGAGGTGATGACTAGAAGTTTAGGTATAACTAAAATGGTTAGGTATAGTTAGCGATGGTTAAGGATGGATATATTTTGTTAGATTTAGAGAGAGTTGGCTGGGAATCGGTAGAGATGATTAGGTAGCTAAAAATAATTGGGTGCAGTTAAAGATGGTTAGGGTTGGAAGAAGGTCAGGGATATTAAGAGATGATTCGAAATGGTTAAGGTTAGATGATTGGGTATGGTTAGATAAGGTAAGGGTTGGAAGAAAGATTGGTATATTTAAAGATGGTAGTTATAGTGAGAGATGGTTCTGTTCAATCAATTAGATGATTGAGTATAATTAGATATGGTAAGAAATTGTTGGATAGTTAGATACGGTTGAAGATCGTTACGTCTAATAAGCAATGATTTGAAGTTTAGATATACAGACGGT